AGTTTCCTCATCTGTAAAAGCATAATAACAGTGCCTCCCTCAAGGAGTCGCTGTGAGGACACAGAAATAATGCTTGTCCTAGAGTGAGCATTCAGTGAACATCAGCCACTATTAACTCTCACCACGAGCAGGTGAGGTAGGGACTATAGTAACGCCCGCCTGACAGAAAAGGAAACCCGGTTCACATGGCCAGGAAGGAGTTAAGCTAGGTCTCAACCAGGGCAGTTTCTCTACTGAGCACAGGCTCTCTTGACTACTCCAGGAGAGAAAGCACGGGTTAGTGGTTACGTGTACAAACTTTAGAGTCAAATGGCCAAGTCAGACCTCCCGCTCAGCAGCTGACCAGCTGTGTGACTGAAAGTCAGCTGTGTAACCCTCCGTGCTTCGGTTTGTTCATCTATAAAATGGGTATCCTGCCTCTTAAGGTTGTTGCGGGGAGTATGTGAGTTACTAAGGGCTGAGAACAGTACTAGCTAATGACCTTTTTCTCTGGACCCGCTCTCCAGGGCGCCCTCTGGCCACAGTGCTTGTAACTGCACTCTGTCCTTGCTCATGCTGGGCCTGGCCTGCTGGGTTTCTGAGGCTCCAGTGGTTCTGGGACTTTATTTTTTGTTTTTTATTTTTTGTTATTATTATTTTTTTTTTTTCATTTCTCTTTTTCTGGGACTTTCTAAGGGTTTGAAGGGGCAGCAAGCAGACCTGAGCCAACAAACTTGGGACACCAAGCAACCCCCACCCCTCTCCTTCCTAGAGACATACCTGGGCCCCTGCTCTCTGGCCTTGGGAGTGGATGTCCTGGGGGAATTTCAATCAGGGTGGGAGAACTGGTCAGGCCACAGAGGGCAAATAGTTTCAGAGAGGTGTGGCTTTTGAGGTCTTTAAAGATGACATGGATATCATGCCTTTGAGAAGTATAAAAGGCCATGTCACATCAGGTACCCTGTCATGCCCATGAGAACTGCCGGCCTTGCCCTCTCCTCCCAACACATGGGCCCTTCTATCTCAAGGGCAAAAGAAGGTCAGGGAGAGGAAGGGAGGGAATCCCTGACCTGGGAGAGGGAGAGTACCAGGGGCAGAGGCCTGCCTGTTCTGGTGACCTGGGCCCGTAGGAGACCTACGAGCACATTTATGGGGGTTGTGCTGGGTCAAAAGTGGTTCTCTGGGCCCTGATATGTTAGACAGCTGGGCACAGGGTCCGGGAGAGGCCCCATGAAACTAGTTGGCAGCTGAAGGACCAGGTGGCGCTCTTCACCAATCCAGCAGCCCCTGGAGCAACACACTGGGCAACAGCCCCACCTGGTGGGCAGATGGGAACGACCATGAGCCAGAAAGCGCAGGGGAGGAAAAGGATGACGTGGAAGGGGGCAAGCAGGTGAATAATCACAAGGCAGGTTTAGAGTGGAAGGGGCTATGAGGTCTTCTCACTAGTAGAAGCCCCTCCTAAGCATGTGTTCTCGACTCCCTTAGATGAGGAATTCATTTCTTCAGAAGGGGATCAGGTAATTACTCATTGAAAGTTCTTACACTTTTTGGAAATCTGCTTCCATCAGTCCCCTGACCCTCTACTTGGAGGCTTCCAACGGTAACCTTTCAAATATTCGAACACAGCTATTATATCCCTAAGTACCCATTTGCTTCAGCCTTCCAGCGTTAACTTCAACCTTTCACCCACTGCATCTTTTTTCCACTCAGTTATCCCTTTTTAATCTATTAATTCCAAGGAACTTCCAATTCTGTACCCAAGCCATCCCCTCCCCATGCTAGCAGCAACATTTTTAAAACGCCTCTGATGTCAACCTCATGCTGTTCAGGGTCTGATATTTTGGGGAGGTTGATGCTCTGATTTGGGGGTCAGTTTAGATGTCCAGAGCACAGGCTCTGAAGTCTGAAAGACCAGTGTTCAAATGTGGGGTCTGCCACTTACTAGCTGTGTGACCTCAGGCAAGTTTCTTAGCCTTCCTGAGCCTCAGTTTTCTCATCTGCAAATTGAGGATAGAGGTATTCACTACCTGGAGTTGCGGTGAATATGAAATGAGATAAGGCAGGTGAAACACTTAGGACAGCTCTTGGCAACACCATTCAGCTCCTAAGTGGCCATTATAAAACCACATTCCTCTGAGTTTTGGGCTGTAGGGAGTGCTTTGGAGAAGAAAAGGTGAAAGGGTAGAGAAAAGGGAAAAGGAGACTTTATGAAGTTACGCAGCCTTTCCCAACCAGCACCAATCCCAGGTGAAGTCCAAAAATGGCACCTTGTTCCAGCCCCATTTCTAGGGGTGTCTCTGGACAATCCCTCTCCCTACCCCCACTGTAATGAGCAGGCCTTGACAGCTCTTAGAAACTGAGAGGGTTTAAAATTTAAACATCTTTGGGGGCAAGAGAAACACACCAAAATAAATATACCTACCACTCAGAGGAGAAAGGGAAACTTGGCAGGGGCCCCAGAACTTTCCCCACCCCCGGCCCTCCCTAAACTTCCTCTTGTGGTTTCTCAAGAGTACAACCTGTTCTCCCCAGCCAAGAGAGCGCCTGGGGCAGGGGGCTGGGGCATGCCAAAGGTTCCACCACACCCCACCCTAGATGATAAGGGGAGGAAGGGGTATATGTGACAGAGCCTGGAGGTCTGCATAGTTCTGAACTTCGTTTCTTGCTTACTTGTTATCTTGGGGTGACTTCCTTCTACCCTCAACACCCATGCCCCCCCCAACACATACCCCTCTCTTAAAGGCAGATGCACAGGACAGTTTGACTGCAGGCAGACAGGGACCGCTTCAGGCCTCCCCAAATTTGCACAGAGGCTTTTGTGAGAAACCTAGAGTTTCAGAAAGGTGAGGGGAAAATGACGGGAGCCCACGGAACCCCTGTCTGCAGCCCACATGGCCCCAGTCGGCCAGCAGTCATGGGGTCAAATACACACATGCAACTGTAGGCTACAGCAGCTGTGAGGAAGAGAGGCAAGCATCTTAAGACTGCTTCCACTTCCTGACCATCTTCTTTACTCAACTACCGAGATAGACTATTCCTCTTGAAATCCAGATTAGGAGGGTCTCTGCTATTCTTGCACATCACTGCATTCTTTCTTGCATCAAACCTGGATAATAAAACACACACACACACACACCACACACACACACACACACACACACACACACACACACACACACACACCATGAGGGAAGGATGTCAGTTCTGTGCAGTCCCTCCAACAACCCTACTCTGGGCCTGCTGGAGCTCCTTATAAACAGGACTAGCACCTACGATCAGCTAAAAGGTTGCGCTCCTCTGCATTACCCAGGATACAGGCCTATGGACTCCCTTCCAGAAAATCCTAGCTCTTGGCTCAAGCACACATTTGATGTGTTCAGTCAAGGAGGCAGGCTAGCCAAGTGATCTGGGTTAAATTCCAGCTCTGCCATTTATTTTTGGTGTCCTCTAGCAAAACTACTTCTCTTCCAAGTTTGTCATCCATATAATGGAGATAATCCTAGTATTTACCTAATAGGATTGGTAGGAGGGTTAAATGAGACATTACCTAAAACTGAAGAGTACCTGACAGTACTCTAGAACATCAGCCAGTATTCTGAACCCTTGAGGGAAGAAAACAGGAAAGAGAAAGCTCTTGGGACCACAGAGGTCATGGTCTCAAGGACTCAGCAAAGGCTGGGATCCTCCTGAATTCTCAAAGCTGCTTTTGATTCTAAATTCCAGGGCGGTAGGGTGGTAGAAGCTCTGACTACCTAGCCTGTGCAGGCAGATATGGCCACAGCAAACAGGTGTTGACTAAATTCATAAATTGCTGTGTGTCATCTCTCAAGGAAGTAAAAGAACAGTAGAATTTCCAGGAAGGCAATGGGAGATCCAGTTCTCTTCACCCATGTCTGGTCCCCAAGAGAACTGGGGTGGGGGTGATGGGGAGTACAGAGCAAGATTTGTTAGAGAAAACAGTCCTAGAGTCCAGAGATGAGGAAAGGGGTGCCCCACATGTGGGAACTGTCACATCACCCCAGGGTGGACCCTCCCAACTGCACACAGCTGGGAATTTCTGGGTTCTTGGGGACTAGCCCAGAAACTTCTTTCCCTGAATTCATTCTTTTCATTCTCACCTCTTCTTGGTGTCTAGACAGTGGGTTAAAGAGAGCAGGTACTGCTTCTGGGTCCCCACTCTATCTCAATGCCCAATGCCACAGTCAAGGTTCAGTACAGCTCTGCAGAATGAATAAGTGCCCCCCAAAGATTCTCCACTCCTCTGCCTGGTGACTATCATTCAGAACCCTACTCAAATGTCATCTCTGAAGCCTTCCCAGCCAGCCCAACTTGGCATGGTACCTTTGCTGTTCTATGACCACCTTCCCACACCCCATCCACAAACTAGCTATTGATTAATAATATGATTGCACCCTCAGCATCCTACACAATTTCAGACACTCAGTAGGTGGTCAATGCTTGCAAATGAATACATTAATCTCCCTTAGTAACAACAACCAATTTCTTCAATTATTCCTCCAGTTCACCCAATGGAAGGCACAGAAGAGGCTAAGGCCATCGCTGGTGCACCCATCTGACACCAGAGAGACGAACATGAGGCGTCCCTGTTTCCAGCCCTGTCCTCTGGCCTCCCACCGCCTGGCTGGCAGCAGGACCCGAAGGCTCCCTGCTCGCACTGGTTCTGCCCTCCTGTTCATCTCCCACCCCTATCTCTTGAGGTATGAAGGACGACGGCAGCCCAATGAAGCCACAAGTCTGTTTAGAGGGTGGCTGCGCAAACGGCTCAGGGCTTTGTGGAGGCTCCTCTGCCTTTCAACTACGTGCAGAACAGCTCGTTCAGACAGAAAGTGAGCAGAGCTTTGGGAGACATCGGGGAAGTGATGGGGGGCGCGGTTAATTCCTTGGCCCTCCCACCCTGACCCCCTACTCCGGCGCATCCAGCGTGAGCTTGGAGGCCCCAGATACGGGGGTTGATGCTGACACCCCATCTATCTTGGTTTCCAAGCCCTCGAGCCTACCTCCTTGGCAGGTGAGCCCCCGGAGCATCGACTGTGGCCGCAGACTTTCTCTCCCACCGCCGCTGGCTTCTGGTTTTGGGAAGGTCGGGGTCGCCACCTCCAGCCCCCACCGAGAGGGGCGTGCACACCTCCCCTAAGCGCCCAAACAGAAGCAGTCTCCACCCCCGCAGGCGCGGCGTGTTTACAAAGTCCGCGCGGCAGCGCGGATCCCGGGTTTAAAGCTGGGCAGGAAGTGGGGAAGAGGGGGCGGAGGAGACAAAGGGGCTGAATTCTCCGCTCAGCTAAGGTTTGGGCCGCAGCTGGTCGTGGCGCGGCCCTGCGGCTCACCCTGCGCTGCGACCGAGCCTGCTGACCCCGGCCACGTGCCTTAGGTGAGGGGCCGCGGCGCCTCCCGGGCCCAGGTGAGAGCAGCGAGGCAGGCGCGGCGCAGCTTTCCTGACTTGTGCCTTCTGGGCTTTTGCGGCTCATCCACGCGCCACCTAGGAAATTAACAAAAACCTTAGGCGCTGTTTCGTGACCTCTTACTATATGTCTGGCACTGTGACAGACGCTTTGTGTGTATTAGTTCATCTTTTCACCTGCTATCAAATCCACCTCAGATTCACAAAAGAGGAAACTGAGGAACGGTGAGGTAATGTGTTCAAGGCTCCACAGCTAGCGAGTGTTAGTATTCAAACATAGTATCTTCGTTCTGCCAGGCTCCCACAAACCTGGTGAAATGAGGCACGGTGCGGCCCCCAGTCCCAGCAGGAAAAGACCCCACCCAGAGCGGCTGACGGGTGAGTGAGCCACAGAAAACCTGACACTGCGTGGACGCAACGCCCTGGGAGTGAAGCGGACAGGGGACAGCCTCCCGCCGCCTGCGCCTCCCGGCTCGCCCGCAAATACCCGCGGATGGAGCGGGAGACGGCAGTGGGACGTAGTGGAAGACCTGCAATAGGTAGTTGCTAAGCTTAGTTCCAAGTGGGCCATTGGCGGGCTGCGGGGCCGTCAGCCCAAAATAAAGGTTTTCCAAAATGTGAGGTCTTGGAGAATCACCTGGAGAGCTTTAAAATACAGGTTCCCCGGTCCCTTCCCCAGAGAGCGAATCACCAGGACTGGGCGGTGGGCGGTGGGAGTGGGCGATGGGCGGGGCAGGACTCACTCAGGTGTTGCTAACAAATCAGGCAACTTTGGAGCGTTCCAGACGAGTGCTCTTTATGAGAAACGATTTCATCTTGAAATAGGTGTAAACCGAGGATGCATTGTCCTGGCCAATTCTGAGGCTCGCTGGGGTCCTAGGAACCGTTAGCTCTCAGGTCCCAGGAGCCGAGGTCCTCAAACTCACCCACCACCCCGCAGGGATTCCGAAATGCCCAGAGGGGCGAGCCCTGCCCCGCCCCGCCCCTAGCCCCGCCCCTTCGCGCCCTTCCCAGTCCAACGACTACACGTCCCATCCTGCCCTGCGCTCGCGCACACTACGCAAAGCAACATGGCCGATACGGCGGCTACTGCCGGGGCTGGCGGCTCCGGAACGGTAAGGGTGCGAGGCGCGAAGCCGAAGCCGAGAGAGTCTGAGCATTCTGTAATTTTCCCTTAGCCTGGGCAACAAGCTCATACGAAACCCAGCCCCATCATTAGCCCCGAGTGGAGGGGGGTCTTTCAGGCCGTACATCCCCTCTCCTTGGGACTTGGCGGCGGCCTTCTGAGTTGGTAGACCTGTGTACCGATTGGCCCCTTCCCTGTTGGGGTTTGGGAACCCGGAACACCTCCTGATTGGGCCGAAGACCCCGTTTTCGCCTTGTTATTGGCCAGCCAAAGTTGGGAGGGATTCGCGTTTCAAAATATTTAGCTTTCCCACTTTTCTGTGCCTCCCTTGCTCACCTTTCCTCGGCGTAGTTTGTAGTTGCTTTAATTTTCCTTGTTAGTGAAATGGTGTGGAGATGGGAGGAACGAGAGAGATTATTTTTTTTCTGGGATATAGGCATGAATTCAATCACATCATGCGTGTCTGTCTCTTCAACTGTATATTCTGATAATCTGCTGAAGAGAAAGTAAAAAACAGCCCGTTTGTGTTACAGAGTTTTAAGATTTTGGTACAGAGAAAATCGATCTCCGTATTTAGAGCCGCTTGGGTGCTCAATGATTACTCAGTTGGCCAAGATCTGTAAGTCTAAACATCCGAGGCTACCACATTTTATTAAGCACTGATAAATATTTAGCATTGACTGTATGATTGCATCCTTGCCTTGTGGATGAAAATCTCTCTTTCTGGCCTGCTGATTCACAGAGATCAGGAGGTAAACAATCCACTAACCCTGCTGACAACTACCACCTGGCCCGGAGGCGAACCCTGCAAGTGGTAGTGAGCTCCTTGCTGACAGAGGCAGGGTTTGAAAGCGCCGAGAAAGCATCTGTGGAAACACTGACAGAGATGCTGCAGAGCTGTAAGTACCAGGATACAATAGGCCTTCTTCGAGCCAGCCAAACATCTGTTCTGCATCCTGCGTTGTGATAGTGTTAGAGCGGATTTAAGAGAAAGAACATCCTAAAGTGACTTACAGGTGTTAGAATCAGATAGACCTGGTTGTAAGTCATTGTGCTGCCACTCAGCAGCTTGGGCAAGTCACTAAACCTGAACCTCAATTTCCTCATTTGTGAAATGGGGTAATAATTAGTACCTCATGGAGTTATGAGTATAATTGAGATGTAGACATAAAACATTTGATGCTGGGAACATTTTAAGTTCTTGATGGCTTGTAGGTGCTGTTAGTATTACTGTTCTCTGTGCTCAAAGAGTTTACAGTATTGTTGGAGAGCAGGATTAATTCCCTTGAAACAGGTGCAACACATTAGATAATTAAATACTACCTTATGTGATACAGAGAGTAATTACAGAGATGAGAGTGAATACATTTTATAGAATGGGGAAAAAAGGACAGTTTTAAACGGAAATGTCTTGGGGTTTAGGAGCCTGGAATGGTCTCACATAGGCTTTCTGCATGTACAATATATTTCCCTGTTTGGACCCTTTTTTGGGTGGGAGCAGGTAGGATGGGATGAGGGATGGGTTATTTAAGGTGTTTTAGGGAAAGGAGTCAACACCTATCAATAGAAATGAAAAAACGGTTTAAGCAAAGGAGAAGTTGAACTGCACTGCAGACTGAACAGAGAATCGGCCAACTTGGTGGGAAGCTCTGGAGCGGTTATTGCCAAGCAGAATGCCCCGCCTCAGGCCCAGAAGGCCCTGCCTTTGTATTTAGGTCTTGATCAGTCGGTAGAAGTGAACTGCCCCAGGAAGGGTGTGATCTGGGGTGAGGTGGCTCTCTGCAGTTTATGTTTAGAACTTTTAAGTACCATAGTTTTCCTAAAGCAGCAATCTCAAATTTTTTGTTCTTAGAAACCCTTTAGACTCTTAAAAATGGAGGACCCTGAGGAGTTTTTGTATATGGGCTTTATATATAAGGTGGCAAAAGAGAGACTTTTGCCACCTTAGAAAATAAAACTGAGGAAATTTTAAGCCATAGTAATGCACAAGCACATGTTCTATTATCTGTAAGAGCCGTGATATCATCACAGGTCATAGAGTCTCTGGAAAACTGCATGAGAGAGTGAGAATCAAAAAGTCAGAGTGTCTTAATTTTATTGTGAAAATAGTTTGACCTGTGGACTTTGGAAAGGTTTTCAGGACACCCAGAGATTCCCAGACCACAGGTGGAGAACTTTTGTCCTAAAGGAATGTACTAGTAGTTCCCAATTCAGTTCCTGAACAGATCTTGGAGTTCAGTGTTTAAAGGTCCTTAGAGTTGAGGGAGGTTTTTCTCATACCACCAGATAAGGGAGTTTTTCTCTCAGAAGAAATGGTTGCCACTGAAGGGTGTGGAGCTAAAATAGTTATGTAAGAAAGCTATGAGTGTTAGAACTAAAGATTTGGAAATAGTATAAAAGTCTACCACTTCCAGCAAAGGAAAACAAGGGTGGATGGCTTACACTGATGGCCTGTCAAGGCTTGAGCAGCTCCATGTTGTCAGTTGCCCTGGGTTGTGTTAGGATTTGTGTTAGTTGTAAGCATCGGGCACATTTGTTGTACTTGTTGACTACAGTCAGTTTGCCTCTTGGGACGCCAATCTTAGGCTGGGTTCAGAGCACCATCTCCATTACTTTTCTACATTTTGTATACATACCTTTGACACCCTAGGACCTGCTGGCATGTAAGAAAAAGTCCCATTGGATGAAGATATCTTAACTGCCACCTGGCTGATTTCCAAGATGTTCTACCAGGATTCTAACTAGATTACCCCCACAGTACACACATGCTGCCCACCACGTCCCTGTGTGGCGGCAGTGTTAGCGACTTGCTCAGCATAGCCTGGCAAGTTGGTAGTAGGTCTTCAGTTAGACAACTTCCCTGTTACACAGAACTTGCTTTTATCTTCTGAATCTTTAGGCCCCTACAGCAGGGGTTCCTTACCTTTTGGGACCCCTTTTACAAATCTGATGAAATCTGTGGATCCATCCCCACAAAAAGGCTCTTTTGGTCTATAAAATTCAGCACAATTTCAGAAATCTCACGGAACTGCCTATCTGCCTCTGAAACATGGCCCATTCATAGAGCCCAGTTTCACACTTCTTTTCCCTGAAGGACTTTAGCATGACTCTAAAGTAGAGGTTCAGCTTCAGGCTGAAAAAACAAAAACTTGCCCACCAGAGAATAAGACATTATTATTATTATTTTTTTGGTCGCAAGTATATGTAACATAAAATTTACCAATTTAATTATTTTCAAGTGTACAATTCAGTAGCATTAAATACATTTACAGTGTACAACCATCAACACTATCCATTTCCAGAACACTTAATCATTCTAAATAGGAACTCTGTATCCATAAACACTAACTCCCTATTCCCCCTTCCTTTCAGCCGCTGGTAACCTGTAATCTACTTTTTGTCTTTATGAATTTTCTTCTTTCTGGGTACCTCATATAAATATAATCTTAAAATTTTTTAGTTTTTGTGTGTGGCCTATTTCACTTAGCTTAATGTTTTCAAGGTTCATCCATGTTGTAGTGTGTCAGAACTTCATTCCTTTTGAAGGCTAAATAATAACCCATTGTATGTGTAGACCACTTATTTATCCATTCAACTATTGATGGGCACTGGGTTGTTCCCACCTTTTGGCTATTGTGAATAATGTTGCTTTGAACATGGGTGTACAAGTATTTGTTTGAGTCCCTGCTCTCAGTTCGCTTGGGTATATACCTAGGAGTGGAATTGCTGGCTCATGTGGTTATTCTTTATTTAACTTGAGGAACTGAGAATAAGACTTTATGCCTTTGATTCTTTCCTAGATATTTCAGAAATTGGGAGGAGTGCCAAGTCTTACTGCGAGCACACAGCCAGGACCCAGCCCACACTGTCAGATATTGTGGTCACACTTGTTGAGATGGGTGAGTACACCTCCAGTTTCCAGTTTTTCAGTGCAGCTGAGTTGGAGTTACAAGAGAGAGAGAAGAGACTCCCAGGATCAGCTAAGTTTTCTGAGGGTTCTTGAATTCCCTCACAAGTCTTCTAGTTTGCTTTGAGCTGGACAGAGTTATCAAAAGAGGATTCTCCTGAATGCATCTAAGAGACCTCCTAACTCCCTGTTGAGGGTTTCTGCTGGAACTTCTACTGAATGGTAGCAAAGTGCTTCCTTGAGCTGGGAGTTTAAGCTGTCTGGCCACAGCACTACCTGTCCCCTTCCGTGTTCACTATCTGGTGGTCTGGGCAGTGATTTTTGTTTTCCTCTTTCTTAGGTTTCAACGTGGACACTCTCCCTGCTTATGCAAAGCGGTCTCAGAGGATGGTCATCACTGCCCGTAAGTGACTTTGAACTGAGTCCTCCTAAATGCTCAGTTAATGCTTGGGATGAATGAATTAAAGAGGGCAGGGATCAGTTTGTAGCTACTTGTTGTTGCAGGCTCCCTTCCATTATTTGGGACTATTTATAATAAATTCTTTATTTGGGCTAATAGGGTTAGGATATGAAGTTCAGTCATCAAAAAGGTAAATAGTTTCTGAGGTGTTGCTGTGGTTTTTTTATACATCAGCCCTCGCAGAGCAATCGATACCCTTTGAAAAATTTTAAAGTTCTTGTTCTTCCTTAGATCAAGAGTCAACAAACTATGGTGTGTAGGCCCAATGTAGCCCAAGCCCTGTTTGTATAAATAAAGTTTATTGGAACTCAGCCATGTTTACTTATTATCTGTGATTGCTTTAGTGCTCTCATGACAGAGTTGAGTTGTTGTGACAGACAGTATGGCATGCAAAACATAAAGTATTTACTCTCCGTCCCATTACACAAAAGTTT